ATATATAAATTTTAAAATATTTTTATCAGTTTTCTGGATTGCTCTGCTTTTACTTATCACCAGGACAAGGTGTAAGTATTTGAAAGTTACATCATCAGCTGCAATCAATGAACTATCCTTTGTCACTGTGAGAATGAGGGCACTGAAGACTAGGAAGAGGCAGACTGCGGAAAATCTGACAATTTTGTCCCAGACCTCAACAGAACTACAGACTACCAGAGGACCTGGGAGGAGTTCTGAAGCAAAGGGCTGTTCTATATACAGCTTGAATTCCAGATAAGCCAGCAGGGAAGAATATGAGTAATGAAGAAATTGCAAACAGCTAAGATGAACATGAGTTATTTAATGAATTAACTCAAGGAAAAAGCATTTACCTTATGTTAACTTCAAGTCAGTAACCAGCTGGTGATAATCTGGCTTGAAGGTGGGTAATGTCTTGTATTTGACACTTTAAAAAAAAAAAAAAAAAGTGGGGTGGACACCTTCCCTTTTAGCTGGAATGAAGACTATCTTAACCCAGAAAGCCATTCCTCTATTAAAGCAAACACAATACAGTTAGGATCCCTTATTAAGAAACATAGGCAGAGTGCTCATCTACCACAGTGGCCGTAAGGATGGTGTTTGAAGCACGGCTCCAGGCTACCAGGGAGCAGTAGTGGCTGCCCTGAACAAGGTGGCCCTGGAGTGAGATGACAGATTAGTGCCCAACCCCAGAAACAGAAAACCAACAGTCTGGCTGAAAAGAAAAATTCATCAAAACAAAACCTTTTAGATATGTACATACAAAACATGTGTCAAGATTAAGAAAACAGTGGCACAAGGACTAAGGAAGAGTATTTCGGGAGCGGGTGCCAATTGCTATAGCTTCTCTTCATCTTACTTTCCATTGAAATGATCTTACCAAGTTTTCTTACTTCAAAGGGGATCTTTTCAATTCTTTTGAATAAACCTTAGTCAGCTGTCCCTCCCCATACAAGTCAACAGTTAGCCCCAAGTACACGCAGGCATGTGAGACCTCAATGGAAAAAGAAGACAATCTAACAGGACCATTAAGCTCCAATCCAAGCGGTGCTGAGCGGCACCATCTTTCCCAGGAGCTGTGCCAACCCATCACCACCTCAGATAGAAGGGAATATCAGACAGGATGAAGTGGCGTAAGCCCACTGTGGATAACTTGCCGCGACTTGATTACGCTGGGAAGGAAACCCCTGCACTGCCAATTCAGAAACCTGAAGCTGCTGCTTCAACAGGACCAGCACTCCCTTGCTGAGATCGGAGATCTGGATTCCACAGCAGATCTTACTCCTGTTCATTGTTTCATCTCACCCCATCACACCCTTCACAACTACCTGTTTTTACCTCAAAAGTACCGATACAAAGATTCCTGTAGCAACACTAGATCTAACGACAAAAGGCCCTCTCTGCTAGGAAAGTATCACCCTTTGAAATGGGGCGATATTTACAAATTTTATTATTTTTTATCCCAAAATTACATATAAATGAAAACCTGCGTATCAAATGCAGGGAGGCCTTTGCCTTAATGTAGTATTACATTTACATCACAAACATTCTCATATGAAAATCAGAATGCAGCTTTCACACACAAGTTTATATATATATATGTACACATACACACAATATATGTAAGTAGTTAGGATTTTTCCTACTTACACATATTCCTCTCTGGAAAATTAGAAAACTGGGCAATTCCCATGCTTTACAGCCTTGGGAACGTAAATACTACCCATCTAAATGTTGTTTAAAAAAAGATGAAACATGTAAACTACACAACCTCCCTTAAACGAATACACAGTTAATAAAGCAAGGGCCCTGACACAAAAATGACCATGTTTCTCAAAGGAAAAAAGAGTAACATTTGAATAAAAAGGCAAAGTTGAAGAACAGATAAAACAATCCAAATGTTATGTACATGTTCCATGGAGAAATCAGAATTCTCTCCCAGGAAGCAGATCCATGACCCCTTTCAGCCCTTGTGACACTCACTCAGCACCCACTGGCAGTAACCATGCACAGTCAAGTGCATAAGCAGATGCCACAAAGCATCTGTTGAAGTACAACAGTCAATAGTGAGGTCATGTGGTAAATTTCCAACGCCCAAAGATGAAGTGCAAAATCAACTTCTATGACTCAAGAGCTCAACCAGGTCAAAGTTTTGGTATATAGTGGAGGCTGTTTTGGTGATAACCAAAGCTTAGTAAGAATCTCTGTTTTGGGGTTTGCCCTCAAAACAAAAACCCAGTCCACAAAGCTTACCAACTATATAAATAACTGTACAAAAAGAACAAGCCACAATTCTCCTCTAACCAAGGGGGCTAAAGTTTCCTAGTTTTTAAAGCACCAACTAAAGCCACAACGCTTCTACTAAAAACGATGTGTTGGTGAGACTGTTCAGAAAACAAATGCCCACAGGCAGGTGGCTGATGTGCCACAGAAAAAATGTCCAACCAAATACAAGTCAGTTTTCTTACACTGTAACATAAGCTGGTCAGCAACAGAGGAAAGACTTAAGGCAATAAGAGGCATTACAGGGAGCACCACAGTGCTCTTTTGAGTTAATCCACAGCCTCCAAGAAGAAAAGGTCTCAAGAGTTTGGGTGGTTTCTTAGTTTGCTAGCTGTCAGATACTTCCTCCTCCTCCTCGTCATCCTCATCTTCTTTCCTGTCCACTTCAGATGTGTCAGAGGATTCATGGAGCAGAACATATTCTCTGCTGCTGAATCCAAATTTAAGTACATCCTTTTCCTTTAATTCATAGTATCTCTGAGGTTCAATGCGCTTGTTGTTCAAGAATGTCCCATTGCCTGAGCCAAGGTCAATGATGTAGGGCTTCACCCTGCGGCCAACTGTCCCATCTGCACGGGTATATTCCACAAGCCTGGCAGAGATAGAGAGAAACCTGTGAGCAAAATCCACCTCGATCATCCAGCTCTTTGCAGCCTAAATGACATAAATAAGCTAGTTCAAACAAAGTTTAAGCCCAAACTCTAGGAATTGAAGTGGAACACAGTCCTAGACCTAGGACAAATCTAGAAACTGGGATTAGTTTAAACACACACTTAGTTAAAGGGGGAAAACTGGTTGCTGTGGAGGTGGGAAAAGGAAATTCAAGGTAGATCAAAGGCTATTTAAAACCCAAGGCTTTCTGCCATGGTTAATAAAACAGATTTCTGCATTGTTTATGATATAATGCTTTTTTCATTTATATCTCAACACATTTTAGTTCCTGTCCAATGGAAATAAGCAGTCAAGGGAGCGTAATCTGAGCGAGAGTTGGACCATGGTGATAATTTATTAGGCAAGTCACTTGCCTTTGCTGAGCTTCAGTCCTCTCACCTGTCAAGTGAAGATATTAGTATCTTTCCTATCCTCACAAAGTTGCTATGAAGATTAAACAAAAGATCAAAATGTCAAGACAGAGATTCAGCTGACATCTATACCAGGCATTCTTCATTATAGTACCATTTTTTCCTCATAACAGCAAATTCTGTGAGGCAGAGTGGAAAGAGGCCCCGAGAATGGCCTGGAAAGTAGCAGTGGCAAGATTTAAAACCACCAAGTTCAATGTTTTTATGCAAATGTCAGCAATTGCTCAAAGAGCAGTTAGGAACAATATTAGATACAAGAGATATGGAATTCTTTAGCACATACATGACACAAATCTCAGTGATTCCAAGGCATTCAGCTTGTGTTCATATTCATTTCTGCAAATGTAGACTTACCGATACTGAAAGACGGCATGCTGCTTTGAACAAGAGGGATGATCAATGGGAATGTCCGCAATACGGCGATGTCGACCGAGGAGGTAAGCACTCTGCCTGTGGATGTACATGACTGGAAGCACTTCATCATTTTTAAAGGGGTAAAGACGCCACCGTTTCTTGGGAATCCGTGCTTCTGGAGGCTCGCTATATTTAATGACTACACCCCGGAAGGTGTTTGTGTCCTCAAGAAGTGCCCCAGAAAGTTCAAAGCTTGGTTTTTCTTTAACAGGCACCTCTTTGTCTTTATTGTTGCTGCCAGGTCGAGGAGGCAACTCCTGAGACTCATTAGTACTGGCACTAACTTCATTCTTCTGGCGATGCTCCCTTCGCCGGGCATTATAAAACTCCCGCTCTGCTTCCTGAGTCTGCAGATTCTGGCTATCTCGATCCCGGCCTTGAGCTTGCCCACTCTCAGGCCTCTCATTAGAGGTTCTCCTCTGGTGGGAATGGCCCCGGTGTCTATCTCGGTCACTGTTCCTAGCTCGCCTGTGTTCCTGTCCAGATGACTCTCGGTGCTGCCGATCCTCCCGCCCTCTTCTGGGGTGATCCTCACGTTCCTGAAATCCAAACAGACCCAATAACTTAAAAACAGTTCTCAATCTAGGAATAAGATGCATTCAACGTAAACTTTTATGACTTGAACTTTGGCATCCAATGTCGCAGAGAAATACGGTCATCAGTGGAGGTTATGTTCCCTTGAGGGAGACATAGTCCACTTATCCCACGCCGCTGCTCTACAGTCAAAGGCCATTTCAGAGCCCTAGAAACACAAGTACTCACGGGAAAACTTATAGGGAAGCACATACAAAAAATTGAAGTAACAAAAATATTCATGACCTATCAGAAGAAACCTTTATAAAATGTTTATTAAGACATTTTTCAAAATATACAAAAATTATGACTTATTAAAAGACTCAAAATTGAAATCAACCTGGTAGGAAACGTTTACAACATTAAGTATATTAACAAGTCAGTTGGAAAAACAATTCAGGCTCTCCATGGTGGCGCAACAGGTTAAATTAAAGTACAGCACTATGAAACTACCATAGCCACTACAGCACGAATTCGATCCCCAGCCAGGGAGGTGACCCACATGGCACGGCAGACCTCTCCTGACCCACCCGCTGCTCCCCTCAGTAGTGTATTTCAGTTCGTCTGCCTGTTCTGCTCCCTACTCATCTCTGGTGAATCCTCTGATCCCCAGCACCTCTGGCCTATACCCCATTTCTGTATGTACAAATAAATAAATCTTTAAAAAAAAATTTTTTTAACAGAAAGATGGCAAAAAATATGACCAATTTTCAGAAGGAAAAAATACCTAAAAAACACACAAAGACAAGTTTATCCTAATAACCAAGTATCAAACTTCAACAGGGAGTTCTGAATTAAGAGCAAAGTTGCCCCTCCTATGAAGGGGTAAAGCTATCCAGAGCACTTACACATGCGGCAAAAAAGCAAATAAACAGATGTTCATTTGCCATCAGAGAAATGATTAAAGTCACAGAGACACCATGATACATTTAGCAGAAGGGATAAAATAAAAACCAAGGCCAACAACAAATACTGGTGAAGATACAAAGAAGTTCTATTTCCACTTCCAAGTAGGAATAAAAAATGATACAACCACTGTTTATAGACAGAGTTGTGTGCCCTCAACCCTACAAACTGTTAAAGTCCCAACTCCCACATTTCAGAATGTAACCTTTTGTCTGGGCTTTCTGGAGATCACTCCTTTTAAAAAATGATTATGTT